ATCTTACCTGTATATAGGAAAATACCAAATGTAGGCTACGTGAGACGACACCCCTTGCCTACCTGATGACATCCCTTTGATGGTATATAGTTATATAGCCTGGGGCCTCCTGCTGTCAGCACTGGGCACAGGTGTTTAGTGGTATTTACCTGTACACAAATTTCATACCCAAGTATGCTAATTAAGGGAGTGGATCGAGATGATTTTCATTATTGAACCAAGATGTTAAATCATAACTTGTGTATGCTCCAAGTATAGTGAGAAACAAAAAATGTATTAATCTCATAATTCAATTATGTTTTCGAGTAAATGTAATCACAGAATTAGATTATAAAAGTCAGTGATCTAATATAGCATCGCATACATAGGTACTGTATTGTATACAATCAAATGTTTGAAATGTCGACCTAATATAAGGAAGACACAATGTCATTGATTTGTCATTAAACGGTGATACTAAAAATATTGACATTTAAAAACAGCAGACACCAATGTTGAAGTTATTTTGTAATCTTTTCACTGATATATTTCTGTTTTTTTGGACTGTAAAGGTACCACAGTATACAACTTTTTTCAATATAAATATTCAGGCACAGAAACTGGTCATGACGTATATCAGGGACGTATAGTGAAGGGGATTAGCAACTCCCTCTCTGCCTTACCAATTTTATAACACGTCAATCTAGACTTACCTCCCCCTGATTCCGGAGCAGATAGCGAGCGCCACCTATCTCAATTTTGACAAAGCAAGATGGCGTCGATACCGCTTCGTTAGATGCAGAAGTTGGTGTGAAAACAAACCAATCTCGATAAGTGTTCTTACATCAATTGTTTATCCCATTGTTATGGGCTGATTGTATTACTTTTAATTGATAAAATCTGTGGTATCATAGTAATTGATGTCTCATTTTTTGGGGTATATTTTTCTATTTTTAAACGCGATGTAATGCGTGGTTCAGAGTATTGTGGTTGGCGTCGATAGACAAAAATGCGGGATAAAAAAAACCCCACATGTATGTGAACCACCTCACTCCAAAAGTATTTGACCGATCTTTTTTAAACTAGCAGCAATAGAAAGCTGAATAAATTTTATAACGACCCAACCCATTTTAATTGCAAATAACATAATTTAACTGGTGTTATTTTTGTGTCAAACAGACTAAATATCAGCAATATTTTTCTCTGGAACGTAAATCATTATTGTGAAAGTAGTTGGTGACTGCTCACTGTAGTTTTGATTAAATTTTATAAACTATCGATTACATTTTTTAAAACAATTAATATCAATAAACAGCCGAGTAATTTCTTAGTTAAGTAGGCCTGATTTGATTTGCATTACTTGGAACGATAGCGTTGTCACAGATGAAATTACTCGTCTGGTAACGAAGGACACGTGTTGTTCAAAACCGTAAACAAAAATGCGGGAAAAAATAATTCCACATGTATGTGAACCACCTCACTCCAAAAGTATTTGACCGATCTTTTTTAAATTAGCAGCAATAGAAAGCTGAATAATTTTTATAACGACCCAACCCATTTTAATTGCAAATAATATAATTTAACTTGTGTTATTTTTGTGTCAAAAAGTGTAAATATCAGCAATATTTTTCACTGGAAAGTAAATCATGACGAAAGGAGTTGGTAACTGCTCACTGTTTTGATTAATTAGGGCTCCGTATCGGAGATACGGGTGCCCTATAGTAATCACTCTGTCTGACTGTCTGTCTGTCTGTCTGTCGATCTGTCTGTCCGTCCACAAATTTTGATCCTGGCTGATAACTTTGGTATTTATTGACCGATGTACATGAAACTTGGTCAAGATGTTAAGTTCAGAAAAATACACATTGAGGTAAAAAGTCACGGTCAAGGTCATAAGGTTCAAAGGTCAAGGTCAAATTTTGCATCTTTTCACTGATGAACATTTTGTTATGACATGATGAAGCAAAGTTGATCAGAATTAAACAAGGAGTCAACCTGACCAAATGTCAAGGTCATTGGGTCAAAGGTCAAGGTTAAGTTTTGTATATTTTCACTGGTGAACATTTTGGTATGACACCTTGAAGCAATGTTGCTCAGAATTAAACAAGGAGTCAACTGACCAAAGGTCAAGGTCATCAGGTCAGGGGTCAAGGTCAAATTTTGTAGCTTTTCACAAATGAGGATTTTATGACATGAAGCAAAGTTGTTAGGAATTAAACAAAGAGACACACTGAGGTAAAAAGTTGAGGTCAAAGGTTAAGGTCAAAAGATTCAATGGTCAAGGTCAAATTTTGCATATTTTCTCTGATGAACATTTTGTTTTTTGACATGATGAAGCAAAGTTGATCAGAATTAAACAAGGAGTCAACCTGACCAAATGTCAAGGTCATTAGGTAAAAGGTCAAGGTTAAATTTTGTATCTTTTCAATGGTGAACATTTTGGTATGACACTTTGAATCAATGTTGCTCAGAATTAAACAAGGAGTCAATAGACCAAAGGTCAAGGTCACTGAGTGAAAGGTCAAGGTAAAATTTAGTATTTTTTTGCTTGTGAACATTTCATTATGACACTTTGTAGAAATGTTTGTCAGAATTAAACAAGGAGTCATTTGACCAAAGGACAAGGTCACTGGGTCAAAGGTCAAGGTCAAATTTTATATCTTTTCACTGATGAACATTTTGTTATGACATTATGAAACAAAGTTGGTCCAAATTTAAAAAGAAGTCAACTGCATGACTAAACGTCAAGGTCAATTATAGTATCTTTTACTGATGAACTTTTTTTTATGTTATTGTGTAGCAAACTTGTTCAGAACTTAACACAGAGTCAACTGACCTTAGGTCCAGGTTACAGGGGCCAAAGGGTCAATGTCAAGTTTTGTATTTTTCACTGATGAACTTTTTGTTATGATATTATGAAGCAAAGTTGGTGGGAATGAAAGAATAAGTCAACTGACCAAAGATCAGGGTCACTGGGTTAATTGTCAAGGTCATTTGGGTCAAAAGGTCAAAGACAAAGTGGATCTCTGACTTTGACCCTGGCTCTTGATGGAGGAGGGTATATAAGGTGAAATAAAACAAATCAAAGCTAACAAATGAGTATTGCACCGGTATTTACATTTCTGTTAGCCCAGCAAATATGGAGGTGGAAGGAAACAAGACTCACATCATAGTACATGTAAAATGTATATTTTGCTTCCTTGCGATTTTCAAATGTCAAATGTCAAGCTCAGCTATATGGGCTGATTACTTCTTGATGATTATGGGGGATATATTGCCACAAGACGGGGCCCTTACTGACCTGTCAGTGTTCTAGTTTTATAAACTATCGTTTGTATCTTTTAAAACAATTAATATCAATAAACAGCCGAGTAATTTCTATGTTAAGTAGGCCTGATTTGATTTGCATTATTTGGAACGATAGCGATGTCACAGATGAAATTCTTGTCTGGTAACGAAGGACACGTGTTGTTAAAAACCGTAAACAACCGGAAATGTTAAACGCAACAAAAAAGTATCGCATGCATTCGAGGATCAGCTCATTTAAAAAATACTTCGTTTTGAAATTTACAGCGATAGAAAGTTGAATAATTTTTTGACATGTAGTACTAAATTTTATGGCAAAAAATAACAAATAACTTGGGCTGTTTTTGTGTCAAAAAGTGTCAGTATTAGCATTATTTTCACTGGAACGTGCTTTACGAAATGTGATTTGTTGTAATAGCCACCAACACAGCCGAAAGGCTAGACATAGTGGCAACGATAGCCCTGTCCCTGGAATAGAAAGAAGACCTACTAATACACAGTCCCAATTTTAATAGGGCTAACCGTTATCAAAACACTTTGATCTCGGCGAGGTGTGTGCTTAATTTTAACGCTAGTATATACATCTCAGTGTAGAGTAAAGAAAATGATTGTAAACTGACTTTCCAGCTAAAATTAAGAAATATCTTTGATCGATAACATTGAGACTATTTCTGTTTAATTTCCCTCAAACTCGTTCATTAGAAAAAAATTATCATCAGTGCTCAGGATCAGGACATGCATGCAATGCTACCGGTCTATATGTTACCCTATTCAGAGTCATCTGTTTGGTTTCAATTAAACTCATTGTCTGGAAATTCTGGCAAATTTTATATGGCTGGATACCATCGACATAATGTTAACTTCAGCATAATCTAATTCCTCAAAACTAAAACAAATATTAATTCACAATCTGATGCTATGTATGACCATGGCTGTTCTTGATATCGCCTATTCCTTCGGCTTATATAATTTTAGGGATGCCCGGTCGGGTAATTAAACAGAACGCAACGTCCAAAACCTTTGTGCATTACACATGACTATTTAACAAAACGATGGAACTTGGACATATCCCTGCATCGTGGAAACTTGTTAATGCTATATATAAGGATAAGGGGTGCCACAGTGATGACAGTAGTTATAGGCTTATCTCAATTACATCCTGTTTCAGTAAAATTATTGAAAAAAATCATCTTTTAAGTACATGTAAGTATAACCTTGTAGCAGCTGAAACTATTTCTGAGCACCAGTCAGGCTTCCTGCTTCGCCTCCGTTACATCTGAACATTTCCAAAAACTACTCGAAGATAAAGATGCTGTTAACACAACTAAGGACACCGTACATGCAGTTCGGTGTTTCAGTTTTTCATTTTCACTATAAATTATAAAATATATCTATACTGTTTCATACAAATTCATGCAGGAGAGAACTGGTACAGGCATAGCCTGTTGTTCGATCCCATTCATATACCATCATGAATAAAATGTGTTGAAATGAAATGAAAGTGTGCGGCCATTGTATACATATGTTTTATGCCTACTTTTAATGATATTATTTGGAAATCAAATCTCTGATCAGGATCAACTTCTTCACAAATTCAAGTCCCCTCAAAATAGTAATTTATTTAAAGAACTTCAGAAATTTAAGCACTACAAAAGCAGGTTTTTACAGTAGGCTAGACTTTAATTGTAAAGTGTGCCATGATGTAATGATTTCAGCCAATCAACAGGAGTTCCATCACCATGCCCCTCAGCATCACCTATTCCCCGATCTCCATAGGCAAGCTGCGATTCTGGAGCAACATGATGGAGTCAATGAAAATGCTGCATGGATTTGGTAATTGATAACCAGATCATTTGTTTTGATAAAAAAGTGTATTGTTAAAGCTAAAAATGCATGATTAACTATCAACCTGATGTTACATGTACATGTACCTATGGATGTTAAAAAATAGAAAATAGAATAAATAATGATATAAAAAAAAGAACAATGAATGGAGTAGACTTACCATATTTCACTTTCATGCTAGGAATATTCCATATAAATATAGGGGTATCAGGGAAGTATGACCCGCACCACTTACAATTAATTTTTAGCTCACCTGGTCCAAAGGACCATGCGTATGGTTAGCTTATGCCATACCGCAGCGTTCGTCCGTCAACTTTTCCTTTAAAACGCTACTAGTCCTGAACGGCCTAGTAGATTTTGACTTAATTTGGTCTGGAGTATCCTTAGGCCAAGGGGACTCAATTTTGTATAAACGGTGGATGTGGCCTCCCTGGGGGCAGAGGGGCGGGGCGGGGCCCAATAGGGGGAATAGAGGTAAAACTTTGAAAATCCTTCTCCTACCGTAGGGATGAAGGGATTTTATCCTAATTTAGTCTGTAGCATCCTTGGTCCAAAGGGACTCAATTTTGTATAAATGGTGGGTGTGACCCCCCTGGGGGCTGAGGGGTGGGGCCCGATAAGGGAAAAAATAGCAACTTCTTTAAAATCCTTCTTCTTGTGTAGGAATGAAAGGATTTGTTCCATATTTGGTCTGAAGCATCCTTGGGCGAAGGGGAAATAATTTTGTATAAACCATGGGTCTGGCTCGCCAGGGGCCTGAGGGGTGGCGCCCAATAGGGGAAACATATAGCAAATTATTCTTTTAAATCCTTCTTCTTCTGTAGGAATGAAAGGATTTGGTCCATATTTGGTGTGGAGCATCCTTGGGTGAAGGGGAACCAATTTTGTATAAACGGTGGGTCTAACACCCCTGGGGGCTGGGGGTCGAGGCCCAATAGGGGAAATAGAGCAAAATCTTTAATATATCCTTTTTCTTCTGTAGGAATGAAAGGATTTGTTCATATTTGGTCTGAAGCATCCTTGGGTGAAGGGGAACCAATTTTGTATAAACGGTGGATGTGGCCCCCCTGGGACCTGAGGAGTGGGGCCCAATAGGGGAAACAGAAGTAAAACATTTATAATCCTTCTTCTACCATATGGATTAAGGGATTTTATCCTAATTTAGTCTGGAGCAACCTTGAGCAAAAGGGACTAAATTTCATATAAACAGCGAATATGGCCCCCCCCTGGGGGCAGAAGGGAGGGGCCCAATAGGGGAAACATAGCAAATTCTTCAAATACCTTCTTCTTCTGTATGAATGACAGGATTTTGTCCAAATTTGGTATGAAGCATCATTGGGTGAAGGGGAACCAATTTTTTATAAACGGTGTGTCTAACCTCCCCTGGAGGCAGAGAGGCGGGGCCCAATAGGGGACATAGAGGTAAAACCTGTAAAATATTTCTTCTACCATAGGGATTAAGGGATTTTAACCTTATTTAGTATGGAGCATCCTTGGACCAAGGGGCCTCAATTTTGTATAATTGGTGGGCATGACCCCCCTAGGGGCATAGGGGTGTGGCTCAGTTTGAAGTTTGTTCTCGCTATATCTCAAGTGCTGGATGGATCTTTCTGAAATTTCATATGTACTTACAGCACCTACCATAGAGAGCTATATCTTCACTTCATACCAATTATTTTAAACATATTCAGGTGAGCTATACAGTTCCTCTGGGCCTCTAATTACTATACAAATGTTTACAATAGTAAGAGACCCCACCATGCATTCATACCCAGGTATATATTCATATCTGGTGAGGCTCTGATACTTTATACCAAATGAAATTCATTACTTTGAGTATGGTTGCCAGAAACAAATTTCTCATTTTCCCACCATTTATCTTTATCCAGCGCCGTATAGAGTCACTTATTTTTAAAATATTTGATTTATTCATTTTGAAGCTCAAGGTCATATAGTAAAACATCACAACAGTAAATTCACGTTGTAACATGTTTAATGACACTTTCCATCCCGACAGAAGTCTAACGACATGTTTAATGACACTTTACATCCAGACTGAAGTCTAATAACATGTTTAATGACACTTTCCATCCTGACAAAAGTCTAATGACATGTTAAATGACACTTTACATCCTGACTGAAGTCTAATGACATGTTTAATGACACTTGTAACTACTTGTTTAATGACATTTTCCATCCCGACTGAAGTCTAAAAACATGTTTAATGACACTTTCCATCCCTACTGAAGTCTAATGACATGTTTAAAGACACTTTCCATCCCGACTGAAGTCTAATGACATGTTTAATGACACTTGTAACTACATGTTTAATGACATTTTCCATCCCGACTGAAGTCTAATGACATGTTAAATGACACTTTACATCCTGACTGAAGTCTAATGACATGTTTAATGACACTGTCCATCCCGACTGAAGTCTAATAACATGTTTAATGACATTTTCCATCCCGACTGAAGTCTAATAACATGTTTAATGACACTGTCCATCCCTACTGAAGTCTAATAACATGTTTAATGACAGTTTCCATCCCGACAGAAGTCTAACGACATGTTTAATGAACTTTACATCCCAACTGAAGTCTAATGACATGTTTAATGACACTGTACATCCCGACTGAAGTCTAATAACATGTTTAATGACACTGTCCATCCCTACTGAAGTCTAATAACATGTTTAATGACAGTTTCCATCCCGACAGAAGTCTAACGACATGTTTAATGAACTTTACATCCCAACTGAAGTCTAATGACATGTTTAATGACACTTATAACTACATGCTTAATGACATTTTCCATCCCGACTGAAGTCTAATAACATGTTTAATGACACTTTCCATCCCTACTGAAGTCTAATGACATGTTTAATGACGCTGTCCATCCCTACTGAAGTCTAATAACATGCTTAATGACAGTTTCCATCCCGACAGAAGTCTAACGACATGTTTAATGACACTTTCCATCCCTACCGAATTCTAATTACATGTTTAAAGACACTTTCCATCCCGACAGAAGTCTAACGACATGTTTAATGAACTTTACATCCCAACTGAAGACTAATGAAATGTTTAATGACACTTATAACTACATGCTTAATGACATTTTCCATCCCGCCTGAAGTCTAATAACATGTTTAATGACACTTTCCATCCCTACCGAATTCTAATTACATGTTTAAAGACACTTTCCATCCCGACAGAAGTCTAACGACATGTTTAATGACACTTTCCATCCCGACTGAAGTTTAATAACATGTTTAATGACACTTTCCATCCCGACTGAAGTTTAATAACATGTTTAATGACACTTTCCATCCCTACTGAAGTCTAATGACATGTTTAATAACACTGTCCATCCCTACTGAAGTCTAATAACATGTTTAATGACAGTTTCCATCCCGACAGAAGTCTAACGACATGTTTAATGACACTTATAACTACATATTTAATGACATTTTCCATCCCGACTGAAGTCTTACTACATGTTTAATGACACTTTACATCCCTACCGAAGTCTAATGACATGTTAAATGACATTTTCCATCCCGACTGAAGTCTTACCACATGTTTAATGACACTTTCCATCCCTACCGAATTCTAATTACATGTTTAAAGACACTTTCCATCCCGACAGAAGTCTAACGACATGATTAATGAACTTTACATCCCAACTGAAGTCTAATGTCATGTTTAATGACACTTATAACTACATGCTTAATGACATTTTCCATCCCGCCTGAAGTCTAATAACATGTTTAATGACACTTTCCATATCGACTGAAGTCTAACTTCATGTTTAATGACACTTTCCATCCTGACAGAAGTCTAATGACATGTTTAATGACACTTTCCATCCTGACAAAAGTCTAATGACATGTTAAATGACATTTTCCATCCCGACTGAAGTCTTACCACATGTTTAATGACACTTTCCATCCCTACCGAATTCTAATTACATGTTTAAAGACACTTTCCATCCCGACAGAAGTCTAACGACATGTTTAATGACACTTTCCATCCCTACCGAAGTCTAATGACATGTTTAAAGACACTTTCCATCCTGACTGAAGTCTAATGACATGTTTAATGACGCTGTCCATACCGACTGAAGTCTAATAACATGTTTAATGACATTTTCCATCCCTACCGAAGTCTAATGACATGTTAAATGACATTTTCCATCCCGACTGAAGTCTAATAACATGTTTAATGACACTTTCCATATCAACTGAAGTCTAACTTCATGTTTAATGACACTTTCCATCCTGACAGAAGTCTAATGACATGTTTAATGACACTTTCCATCCCTACCAAAGTCTAATGACATGTTAAATGACATTTTCCATCCCGACTGAAGTCTAATGACATGTTTAAAGACACTTATAACTACATGTTTAATGACACTTTCCATCCCGACTGAAGTCTAATAACATGTTTAATGACACTTTCTATCCTGTCAAAAGTCTAATAACATGTTTAATGACACTTTCCATCCTATCAAAAGTCTAATAACATGTTAAATGACACTTTCCAACTAGACAGAATTAAGTTTAATAGAATATTTGTTGTTTGCAAGCTTAAGTGAAATAAACCCAGTTTTTGTAACATATGAATGTCATGAGAGAAAGAAGTCCTCCAACTCATAATGATTGTTACAGGTATAAATCAGGAAATGTCAAGTTGTTTCCATTTTTTTTCCATTTGTTCAGTTGTGCAGAAAATATTTTCTTACTTCCAAAATCATGTTTTGTTCAATTTTCAAAAAAAATGGGTCATGAAAATAAGGTCAAAGATAATAGAATCTTAATAATCTGTTGGTTGTTTCAAATTATAAACTTCTTAATAACATCAGTGTTGCTTAAGTATGTAGACCTTTTAATCATATATATGTATACAATTTAAAAATAGTTTGCTTATTTTTGAAATCAAACTTATAATTATGTAGCCATTAAATAATTATATGCAGAGTAAGATTGAGAATCGTTTCCTTTTCATTCAGGATTTTCTGAGAAAGACACGGATGAAGTGAAAGGAATCTTTGCAGACACAAATTTTACATTTTTGATGCTTACATTTGCTGTTGCTGCATTCCATGTAAGTATAGTTTGTATACGGAAGCCCTTAGATAGACCTATCAACCTAGAGTGTTCTTACTGTCCCAGTATAATAGGGTTACCTTACCAGTCAATCAAACCATGCAGGCTTGACTTTCTGTTCCTAAGAATCTATTTAATACTTAATTTAGTTTGATTTCATTATGGTACCATATTACCACAATGATATAGCCAAGCAATTGGTTTTTAGTTTACCTGACCATAGGTCATGGTAATTAACCTATTGTGATAGCCTTTTGTCCGTCGTAGTGCGTCGTGCGTTAAATTTTCCTTGTGAACATGATAACTTCAGTAAATGTTAACCAAGTTTGATGAAACTTTGTATGCAGCCATATATCAATAAGATCTCAGACGAGGTCGAAAATAGAAATTATTGAACAATAACTTACAGAGTTATTGCCCTTTGTAATAATATTATTATTGGACCTTGTCAACATGATAACTTGAGTAAATGTTCACCGAGTTTGATGAAACTTTGTATGCAGCTTTATATCAATAAGATCTCGGACGAGTTCGAAAATGGGAATTATTGGACAGTAACTTACTTACAGAGTTATTGCCCTTTGTATTATTATTATTGGACCTTGTGAATACGATTACTTGAGTAAATGTTAACCGAGTTTAATGAAACTGTGTATGCAGCCATATATCAATAAGATCTCGGACGAGGGCGAAAATGGGAATTATTCGACGGTAACTTACAGAGTTATTGCCCTTTGTAATAATGTTATTGTTGGACCTTGTGAACACAATAACTTGAGTAAATGTTAACCGAGTTTGATGAAACTTTGTATGCAGCCATATATCAATAAGATCCCTGATGAGTTCGAAAATGGGAATTATTCGACAGTAACTTACAGAGTTATTGCCCTTTGTAATAATATTATTGTTGGACCTTGTGAACACAATAACTTGAGTAAATGTTAACCGAGTTTGATGAAACTTTGTATGCAGCCATATGTCAATAAAATCTCAGACGACTTTGAAAATGGGAATTATTTGACAGTAACTTACAGAGTTATTGCCCTTTGTAATACTAATATTATTGGACCTTGTTAACATGATAACTTAAGTAATTTTCAACCAAGTTTGATGAAACCTTGTATTCGGCCTTATATCAATAAGATCTCGGATGAGTTGGAAACTGGGAATTATTTGACAGTAACTTACAGAGTTATTGTCCTTTGTAATAATATTATTATTGGACCTTGTAAACACGACAACTTGAATAAATGTTGACGGAGTTCAATGAAACTTTGTCCGGTAATTATTTGACGGTAACCTGCAGAGTTATTGCCCCTTGTCATTATATTATTATTTGTCCCTGTGATGTTGATTGACATTACACAAGAATAGATGTAAATTCATGTGGTACACCTTTTTTTTCATTCATGACACATTTTTGCTACTAACAAGGTGCTTTTAAAATTTTGTGCCTTATTTAATAAATCATTGATTTACGCTTTTACTTGTTTCTTTTAACCAAGAACAAAAGACATACAGTTACTAAGCTTGTTCAAAACAGACCCCTTGGGTCAAAATTGGAGTCACACCCATTTATTTCAGTTATCGTGTTCACAGGGTCCAACAATAATAGAATTACCAAGGGGAATAACTATGCAAGTTATGGTCAAATTGGTCCGGTATTCAAACTAATCCAAGATCTCATTGATACAAAGCTGCATACAAAGTTTCATCAAAATCGGTTCATATTTACTGAAGTTATTGTGTTCACAAGGAAAAATTAATGGACGATGCAGTAAGGTCACTCGGACCGACGAAAAGTATGAATTGGCCCCTGGATGACAGTCTTAATTTTAATCGGATGTCAGGTGACAGTTAAAGCCCATGGGCCTCTTGTTGGAATACAAACCTGTTTTGTAAATCATTTTTTCATAGTAACATCTTATTTAAATATTAAATTATTTTTCAAATGAAAGCAGCTAGACTTCTTTTAATGTTTATTTTCTTGTAAAATAGAAAATACTGTGTACAAAAATGTTGGTCTAAAAAACTTCTTGTACACTGATGTATTGACTTAAGTTTCTCCTCTTCAATCAATTTTGATATTTTGGTGGCAAATTTTTAATTCCATTCTTAAACACTGTGACTTTTGCTTCCAGTTACTATTTGACTTCCTGGCTTTTAAGAATGATATAAGTTATTGGAAGGGACGCAAGTCAATGGTGGGCTTGTCTTCCAGAGCAGGTAAGCAATGATATATGTAATTAGCATATTAAGTGAAAATCTCGCTCCGTTGAGAAGTTCAGAAGAAAAACTCTTAGCTCAATTAGGAAGTTTTAAGTATTAAATAGTGCTGCTTATAATTATGAGGATATATTTTAATGTTCCAAATTATTTGATTCAACAGGTTTCATTTGTGAGCCTTGCTACAGCTTGAGATGATCATATTTATCTTTGTTACAAGTTTATGTTGAGAAAATAGTTGTCATAATTACAATTCTAAATGTAATTAACAAATCACATAATAGGTAGGTATCATTACCATAATCACAGACTTAGATAACTTTGAAATCTTTCTCTATTAACATATAATTTCCAGTGGATAGCCCTTGTCTATAGTGAATCAGTACATAATAAACTGTGAAAACAATTTAACACTGGCCTTGTTATTCAACAATTTAAAAAAAATCTATAAGATTTCATCATTGAGAATAATAGGGATTTGTCAACAAGCAGATAGGCATTTGATACAAAAACAAATAGTACAAAATCAGATTGGTAATCTAAGGCAATATGGCGGCCATTATTAAAAACACATCGATTAGCAACTGATTTCAAAATACAAATACTACAAAATCAGAGATAGGGGTACACTTAAAAAACACCCGAAGCAATAGAAAACATATAAATAAACAATTTGGTTTAGTCCGTATGTCAAAATAATCTATTTATTAGCAAGTTAAGTAGATCTCGATGCTCGATGGAGGGTAAAATGCAAGACGATGAAGAAAGTGAAATCACACGCTATTGCATCACGATGAATTTTGGTCTATATTCAGAGCCTTAAAAATACTCTTTCTAGATTGTCAGTGCGATCAAAATCGTTTTGTGTACATGATAATATACCAGATTGTAATTATGTAAACAAATTATTACATAGTTATGATCAATTACCGAGAATTACATGCATTCATGAACCCACCCGCGATCAGTAATCTAAGGCAAAATGGCGGCCATTATTAAAATAAACTGATTAGCAACTGATTTCAAAATACAAATACTACAAAATCAGAGATATGGGTTCACTTAAAAAACACCCGAAGCAATAGAAAACTTATAAATAAACAATTTGGTTTAGTCCGTATGTCAAAATAATCTATTTATTAGCAAGTTAAGTAGATCTCGATGGCGGGTGTGAAGCCATAAAATAATTCAAGTTGGAAACGCACTATGTTTACTATAAACTTTCGCATTCTGCGACATTTCTCTGGTATTCGACAAAACAAACATTATTATATTTATACAGAAGTTTAGCAAAGATCACTTACTTTGAAATCCGGACAATGTAACGGTAGAGATAGCCCAAAATATGTTACTTCTGAACGGCAATCAATTTCTTCCATGTTTGAAGCGGTGGTTTTTTTCCCTGAATCACGTAAATTCTCACGCTTTCTCGTCATCAAGTGCACGGCACATATTTCCTATACCGAAGAGGCAGTTGCCTTTCCCTCTAATCTAATTCCGTGCCATAATAGGTAGGTATCATTATAATAGGTAGGTATCATTACTATAATAGGTAGGTATCATTATCATAATAGGTAGGTATCATTATCATAATAGGTAGGTATCATTACCATAATAGTAGGTATCATTACCGTAATAGGTAGGTATCATTACCATAATAGGTAGGTATCGTTACCATACTAGGTAGGTATCATTACCATAATAGGTAGGTATCATTACCATAATAGGTAGGTATCATTACTATAATAGGTAGGTATCATTACCATAATAGGTAGGTATCATTATCATAATAGGTAGGTATCATTACCATAATAGGTAGGTATCATAACTATAATAGGTAGGTATTATTACTATACTAGTAGGTATCATTACCATAATAGTAGGTATCATTACCATAATAGGTACTGTAGGTATCATTACCATAATAGGTAGGTATCATTACTATAATAGGTAGGTATCATTACTATAATAGGTAGGTATCATTACCATTATAGGTAGGTATCATTACCATATATGAACTTGATAACCCCATATTTTTTAGATTATGTACCCAAAGACACGTGATAGTGTGATTTAACTAAATGGATTACCTTTGTACGTCACTGACCTCACAAATCTCCTCTGTTATGGAGATGGTCAGGTGCAGAATATTTGAAACTTTTGTTTCCTTATTTTAGTTTTCTGGAAGTGTGTAGAAACTTGGGTATAAATCGGCTCCCTTTGGTGAAGATGCTTATTAAACTTAAAATAAATGTTTTGCTTTTTTCAGTTTTGTGGAGATGTGTTTCGACAATAATTATATTTTTCTACCTGATGGATCAGGAGACCAGTTTACTGGTGCTGATCCCTGCTGGGATAGGGGCCTTCATTGAGGTTAGTAAAAACCAATAATTCTTTTCAGAATAAGAGCCTTCATAGAGGTTAGTAAACCTCATTATCCGTGCTGGGATAGGGGCCTTCATAGAGGTTAGTAAACCTCATTATCCCTGCTGGGATAGTGGCCTTAATAGTGGTTGTTAGTAAACCCAATTATCCCTGTTAGGATAGGGGCCTTCATAGAGCTAAGTAAACCTCATTATCCCTGCTGGGATTTGGGCCTTCATAGAGGTTAGTAAACCTCATTATCCCTGCTGGGATAGTGGCCTTAATAGTGGTTAGTAAACCCAATTATCCCTGTTAGGATAGGGGCCTTCATAGAGCTAAGTAAACCTCATTATCCCTGCTGGGATAGGGGCCTTCATAGAGGTTAATAAACCTCATTATCCGTGCTTGGATAGGGGTATTCATAGAGGTTAGTAAACCTTATTATCCCTGCTGGGATAGGGGTTTTCATTGAGGTTAGTACACCTCATTATCCGTGCTTGGATAGGCCCATAGAGGTTAGTAAACCTCATTATCTCTGTTGGGATAAAAGCCTACATATAGCTAAGTAAACCCCATTATCCCTTGTGGGATAAGGGCCTTCATAGAGGTTAGTAAACCCAATCATCCCTGCTGTGATCAGGGCCTTCATAGAGCTAAGTAAACCCAAAGATCCCTGCTGGGATAGGGGCCTACATAGAGGCTAGTAAACCCAATTGTCCCCCTGGGATAGGGGCCTTCATAGAGGTTAGAAAACCCAAAGATCCCTGCTGGGATAGGGGCCTTCATAGAGGTTAATAATCCCAATTATTTGTGCTGGGATAAGGGCCTTCGTAAAGGTTAGTGAACCCAATTATCCCTGGTGGTATATAGGTCTTCATATATAGAGCTTAGTAAACCAAATTATCCGTGCTGGGAAAGGGGCCTTCATAGTGGTTAGTAAACCCAATTATCCCAGCTGGAAAAGGGGCCTTCATACACTAAAAAGGTTAATAAACCCCATTATCCCTGCTAGGCTAGGGGCCTTTATAGAGGTTATTAAACCCAATTATCCGTGTTGGGTTAGGGGCCGTTGAATTCATAGAGGTTAGTAAACCCAATTATCCCTGGTGGGATAGGGGCCTTCATAGGAGTAAGTAAACCCAATCATCCCTGCTGGGATAGGGTCCTTCATAGGAGTAAGTAAACCCAAAGATCCCTGCTTGGATAAGGGCCTCCATAGAGCTTAGTAAACCAAATTATCTGTGCTGGGACAGGGGCCTTCAAAGAGGTTAGTAAACCGAATCATCCCTGCTTGAATAGGGGCCTTCGTAGAGGTTAGTAAACCCAATTATCCATGCTGGGATAGGGGCATTCATAGATGTTAGTAAACCCAATTATCCATGCTGGGATAGGGGTCTTCATAGAGGTAAGTTTACCCAATTATCCGTGCTGGGATAGGGGCCTTCATAGAGGTTAGTAAACCCAATTATCTGTGCTGGAATAGGGGCCTTGATAGAGGTAAGTTAACCCAATTATCCATGCTGGGATAGGGGCCTTCATAGCGGCTAGTAAACCCTATTTTTCCAGCTTGGATAGGGGCCTTCATAGAGGCTAATAAACCCTTAGATCCTTGCTGGGATAGGGGCCTTCATAGAGGTAAGTAAACCCTTAGATCCTTGCTTGGATAGGAGCCTTCATAGAGGTTAATAAACCCTTAGATCCCTGCTTGAATAGGGGCCTTCATAGAGGCTAGTAAACCCTTAGATCCTTGCTTGGATAGGGGCCTTCATAGAGGTAAGTAAACCCTTAGATCCCTGCTTGAATAGGGGCCTTCATAGAGGCTAGTAAACCCTTAGATCCTTGCTTGGTTAGGGGCCTTCATAGAGGTAAGTAAACCCTTAGATCCCTGCTTGGATAGGGGCCTTCATAGAGGTAAGTAAACCCTTAGATCCTTGCTTGGATAGGGGGCCTTCATAGAGGTAAGTAACCCTTAGATCCTTGCTTGGATAGGGCCTTTATAGAGGTAAGTTAACCCAAAGATCCCTGCTTGGATAGGGGGCCTTCATAGAAGTTAGTAAACCCAATTATCTGTGCTGGGATGGGGGCAATTATTTTTGTATAAATGATGGGTTTGAACCCCCTGGGGCCTGATGGGTGGGGCCCAAAATGGGTAATTAGCAAATTCTTTAAAATTCTTCTCCATCTGTAGGAATGACAGGATTTTGTCCATATTTGGTCTAAAGCATCCTTTGGGGATCTCTATATTTTGTATAAACATTGGGTCTGACCCCCTGGGGCAGAGGGGCTGGGCCCAATAGGTGAAACATAGCAAATTCTTCAAAATACTTCTTCTTTTGTAGGAAAGACAGGATTTTGTTCAATTTAGGGATTAAGCACCCTTGGGTGAAGGGGAACCAATTTTGTATAAACTGTGGGTTTTAACCCCCTGGGTCAGATGGGCGGGCCAAATAGGGAAAATAGAAAAACAGCTTTAAAATCCTTCTTTTGTAGGAAAGACAGGATTTTGTTCAATTTAGGGATTAAGCACCCTTGAGTGAAGGGGAACCAATTTTGTATAATCTGTGGGTTTTACCCCCCTGGGTCAGAGGGGCGGGCCAAATAGGGAAAATAGAAAAACAACTTTAAAATCCTTCTTCTGTAGGAAAGACAGGATTATGTCCATATTAGGTCTAAAGCATCCTTGGGTGAAGGGGAACTAATTTTGTATCAACGGTGGGGTGGGTCTGACCCCCTAGGGTTAGAGGGGCGGGCCCAATAGTGGAAACATAGCAAATTCTTCCAAATCCTCCTTTTCCTGTTGGAATGACAGGATTTTGTCCAATTGCATATAAATATAACCCCTGACTAACCATGTAATACATGTACAGCAACATCTGGCTATTTCATCTTCAATTTTGCCAACATTTCCAGGCAAGCGATACAGGCCCAAGTCTGGGCCACTTGTTTCATTAATAGACCAACTTTCAAAGGTCAAAGGGGTCAAATGTCATAAAATCTTCAAACGACTTCTTCTCAATAACCAAAAGGCCCAGGGTACTGATATTGGGCCTGTAGCATGCTGGGATGAAGGGCTACCAAGTTTGTTCAAATGAATGACCTTGACCCACTTTCAAGGTCACTGGGGTCAGATGTCTTAAAATCTTCAAACAACTTCTTCTCAATAACCAAAAGGCCCAGGGTACTGATATTGGGCCTGTAGCATGCTGGGATGAAGGACTATCAAGTTTGTTCAACTGAATGACCTTGACCAACTTTCAAGGTCACAGGGGTCAAATGTCGTAAAATCTTCAAGCGACTTCTTTTCAATAAGCAAAAGGGCCAGGGTACTGAAATTGGGCCTGTAGCATGTTGGGATGAAGGATTACCATGTTAGTTCAAATGAATGACCTTGATCCACTTTCAACTTAATGTCCTTGTTCGACAATCAAGGTCAGAGGCGTCATATGTTTAAATCTTTTAATAGGTTCTTATGAAATCTTAAGATTACAAGTGTTAGATTAATAACAGGTGGGCGATGCAGGCCCATTGGGCCTCTTGTTTGATAACATATTAGGCCTGAGTAGCTTTGGATACAGTATGTACAGATACCACAAAAGATCATACTTGTTTTGAAAATCACAAGCTGATTGAGTACACAAGGTGGGATAAATACTGTTTTGTTTGTAAAATATTGTTGATGGGTCGGTAGGACCTGCCCCAATTTGCAAACTGAAAATCGCTGTGTAACAACTTGTCAATTCAACGTGTCAAACCTAACCTATGGTTTTTAATTACACATTGTAATTAACTTAGCTCTATTGAGATGTCAAAATCTGGACAAAATGACCGCTGAATACAGGTGGAGATAACGTCTTGGACCAGAGTTTTGTGACCGCTGGCCGCATTAGACAGGTGGCTGCTTATTTCAGGTTCATTATATAGTAACTTTTTACATTTTCAACTTCTTCTCCGGAACCAGTGGATGGAATGTTTTCAAACTTGGTCAGAATCTTCCTTGGTAGATGAGGCTACACAATTGTAAAATTGGGATTCCTACCCTAACCCCTGGGGCCAGGGCGGGGCCCTAAAGGGAAAATTAACCAATATTTTAAAATTCTTATTCTTTGATGACTTGACAAGTATTGTATTTCACTTAGTTTACATGTTGATTTCCACATCACATCTAAACAATAAAATAAAGCTTGACCTCATAAGGGAGGTGACCGCTGTTTCAGGTGACCGCTCAAGCAGGTTTGACTGCATATATCACAGATTATTTCTCAGTCATGTAATCTTGTGTAGGACATAAGAAGTAAACCTTGAAGGATATCTTGATGCAGTACACAGTCATTAGGACACTTTTACCTTCACCTAAATTAAGATATAGATATCTTATAAGTGCTAATTAAATTTCTAGCGCAATGTTGTCCAGAGTAGCTTTTGAAGCATTAAATGTGTCACAATGAAACTTGAAGTGAACCTGCTTCATTCACAGATGTTGTGCAGTGCACTATTCTTAGAGCAATGTGACCTTTACCAGTAGGTCAAGGTCGTTTTAGTGCTAATACATTTTCATATCAGCTTTTAAGGGGTAAATATCTTGTTGATGTGTTTTTAGCTCACCTTCCTGAAAGGCACTAGCCCTTCGTAGTGCCCTTCAGGCAGGTGAGCTTATGCCATGGTGTGGCGTCCATCCATCCTCGTCTGTCAACTTTTCCTTAGAACGACTTCTTCTGAAGAATGGGCAGGCCTAGAGTCATGATATTGGGGTAATAACTTTGTTGGTTAGAACCCAACGAAATTGGAGAACGAAAATGACCTTGACCTTCTTTCAAGGTCACAGGGGTCAAATTATCAAATACTTAAAACGACTTCTTCTGAAGAACTGAAATGTATAGAATCTTAATATGTGCCTGGTAGCTTCGTTTGTAGGAGCCCAACAAGGTTTGAGAATGAAAATGACCTTGACCTACTTTCAAGGTCACATGGGTCAAAAGTGTCCTTTAAAATAACTTCTTTTAAAGAACCAAAAGGTATAGAATTTTAATATGGAGTTTGTAGCTTGTTAATAAGAGCCCAACAAAGTTTGATAATGAAAATGACCCTGACCTACTTTCAAGGTCACGGGGGTCAAAAGTATCGAAAACTTAAAACGACTTCTGATGAAAAGTATAGTATTTTTAGCTCACCTGGCCCGAAAGGCCTAGTGAGCTTATGCCATGGTGCGGCATCCGTCGTCCGTCCGTCGTCAAGCGTCAATATTTTACTTTAAACAACTTCTTCTGAATAACCAAAAGTCGCAGGATGATGCTATTTGGTCAGTAGCATGCTGTGATAAAGGGCTACCAAGTTTGTTCAAATGAATGACCTTGACCAACTTTGAAGGTCACAGGGGTCAAATGTCTTAAAATCTTCAAACAACTTCTTCTCAATAACCAAAAGGCCCAGGGTACTGATATTGGGCCAGTAGCATGCTGGGATGAAGGGCTACCAAGTTTGTTCAAATGAATGACCTTGACCCACTTTCAACCTAATGTCCTTGTTCGACATTCAAGGACACAGGCTTTATGTTTAAATCTTTTAATAGGTTCTTGTGAATCAAACACTGATATTCTGCCTGTAGCTATATTTTAGTCCACTTTTAAGATTACAAGTATGAGATTAATACCAGATGAGCGATGCAGGCCCATTGGGCCTCTTTTGATATGTGGCTTGTAGATTCTTTGGATTGAACCCCACAAAGTTTGATAATGAAAATAACCTTGACCTATCAAAGCCACAGGGGTCAAATATGTCAATCAATTCAAATTACTTCTGAAGAAGAACTGAAAGGTATAGAATTATAATATTTGGCTTATAGCTTCCAGGCATGAAGCCTGACAAAGTTTGCGAATTAAATTGACCTTAACCTACTTTCAAGGTCATAGAGGTCAAATATGTCAAACACTTCAAACAACTTTTCTGAAGAACTGTAAAGGAATAGAATCTTAATGTTTGTCTGGTAGCTTCTAGGGATTGTGCCTGTGAATGAACAACTTCTTTTGAATTATCGTAATGCTTAGAATCATATTATTTAGCTGATTGCTTTTTAGGATTAAGCCTGACAATGTTTGCGAATGAAAATGACCTCAACCTACTTTCAAGGTCACAGGGGCCAAATATGTCAAAGACTTCAAATGATTTCTTCTGAATAATGTAAAGACATAGAATTATAATATTTGGCTGGTAACTGTCAAAGATGAGCGTGCCAAAGTTGCCATTGAAAATTACCTCAAGGTCACAAACTGCAAACAGCTTATTTTGAAGAAATGAAAGGCATGGAGTTGTGATATTCAACAAGTAGCTTCCTTAGATGGAGCCCAACAAAGTTTGCGAATGAAAATTACATTTATCTATTTTATCCTATAGCTTTATCTTAATCTAATTTGATATATTAGCCCAACATGATTCAATGTGGTAGAAACCATGCCCCTATCCCGATGGGGACAGGAGAATCGGACCCAATAAGGTAAGGGTGTTACTGAGAGACAGAGCCAATATTAGGAAATATTTGTAGTACAGTATAATATTTATTAAACATTTTGCTATGACTTCTCAAAAAATTGTGATTTCAAACATGTTAATATTTTCCATTGTATTTGTAGGTTTGGAAAGTAAAGAAAGCCCTAAAGTTGACAATACACTGGAGAGGGTTAAGACCCTCATATGAGGTAAGGTATTATCATAGTTGTAAGACTCTTTAATATGAAGTTTGTTTTAGAGAATCACCAAAATTCACATTACATTTGATATTTAGCTCACCTGGCCCTAAGGGCCAAGTGAGCTTATGGCATGGTGCGGCGTCCGTCGTCTGTCCTCCGTCCGTCCGTCGTCAACCAAGAGGCCCAGGCTGATGATATTTGGCCAGTAGCACGCTGGGATAAAGGGCTACAAATTTTGTTCAAATGAATGACCTTGACCCAGTTTAAGGTCACAAGGGTCAAATGTCTTAAAATTTTCAAACAACCTCTTCTCAATAACCAAAAGCCCCAGGGTACTAAAATTGGGCCTGTACCATGCTGGGATGAAGGACTACCAAGTTTGTTCAAATGAATGACCTTGACCCACTTTCAACCTCATGTGGTTGCTCGACATTCAAGGTCACAGGCGTCATATGTTTAAATCTTTTAATAGGTTCTGATGAATCAAACACTGATATTCTGCCTGTAGCTATATTTTAGTCCGATTTTAAGATTACAAGTGTGAAATTAATACCAGGTGAGTTATGCAGGCCCATTAGGCCTCTTGTTTTTTGATAAAACTAGCTTCATTTAGTTTTATTAAATTCAGATGTTATGGGAACAAGGTAAAATTTTGTGAACATTTTGACTGGAAATATAATGAAAATCCACCAGTTTGCTGTGATTTGTGATGTCACCATATTATTCCTTTGGACTTCAACATTGATGATATTACACCTTGAAAAAACCTTGATTCAGTCTTAAAGATGCAAAAAACACTGTAAAACTGTCAATATTTTTTTTTCAAAAAAGTAATCTAATTCATAATTTATCCAGTAATGTTTTTAATGTGTTCAGCTTTAAACATGGCATGTTTATAAGGTACATATTGTATTTAAATATTTGTGGTTGTTTGTGTAATAATCCATTCTTTATACATAGATTGGTAAGACATCGGAACAAGAGAAAGAGACCGCAGCATTTGACTCTGAGGTACATACACACTGGCATGCTAAGTATACGTTGTGTCTTTGTTCTGACATTGATACAGTAGATTTATCTTGTAATGCCAGCCATGTTACTCTCCTCTACATACCACAGGTTGTAAAAGGAAGAACATATTATGTTTGGATTTCACATTATGTTATGGTAGCATCCAAAGCATGTTTAGCTGTGACAGGTGTGACAGGAGTGTCAGGAGTGTCAAGTGTGTCAGGTGTGACAGGAGTGTCAGGAGTGTCAGGTGTGACAGGAGTGTCAGGAGTGTCAGGTGTGTCATAGGGGTCAAATATGTTCAAACCTTTAAAACAACTTCTACTGAATAACCAAGAGGGCCTAGGGTGATGGTATCTGGCCAGTAACATGCTGGGATGAAGGGCTACCATGTTGTTCAAATAATAAACTTGACTTATATTCAAGGTCACAGGAGTCCACTATGTCTACAACCTTTAATACAACTTCTTTTGAATAACCAAAAGGCATAGGATGATGATACTTGGCCAGAAGCATGCTAAAATAAAGGACTACCGATTTTGTCCAAATGAATGAATTTTGTCCATTTTCAGGGTCACAGAGGTCAAATATGTTAAAAATCTTTGAACAACTTCTTCTGAATAACCAAGATGCCTAAGGTGATGATATTTGGCCAGTAACATTCTGGAATAAAGGACTACCAAGTTTGTTCAAATAAATTACATTGACTTATATTCAAGGTCACAGGGGTCAAATATGTCTACCACCTTTCAACAACAACTTCTGAATAACCAAGATGCCCAGGGTTTTTATATTTGGCCAGTGACATGTTGGGATGAATGGCTACCAAGTTTGTTCAAATGAATGACCTTGAGTTATATTCAAGGTCACATGGGGTCAAATATGTTGAAAACTGCAAATATCTTCTATATAACAAAAAGGACCAGGGTGATGATATTTGGTCAGTGACCTGCTGTGATAAATAGTTACCAAGTTGGTTCAAATGAATGACCTTCACCCATTTGCAGGGTCACAGAGGTCAAATATGTTGAAATCTTTAAAAAAAATGAATAATCTAAAGGTCCAGGGTAATGATATTTGGCCAGAAGCATGCTGGTATGAAAGGTTATAAAGTCTGTGTAACTTAATGTCTTAATGTCTTAATGTTAATATTTGGCCAGTAACATGCTGGAATAAAGGGCTACCAAGTTTGTTCAAACAAATGACCTTGACCCACTTTCAAGGTCAAATGTGTTAATATCTTCTAACAATTTCTTCTCAATAACCAAAAGGCCCAGGGTACTGATATTGGGCCTGTAGCATGCTGGGATGCAGGACTACCAAGTTTGTTCAAACAAACGACCTTGACCATCTTTCAAGGTCACAGGGGTCTTATGTGTTAAAATCTTAAAACGAGTTCTCAATAACCAAAAGGCCCAGGGTACTGATATTTGGCCTGTGGCATGTTCGGATGAAGGGCTACCAAATTTGTTCAAATGAATGACCTTGACCCACTTTATTGGTCACAGGGGTCAAATGTGTTTAAATCTTCAAACAACTTCTTCTCAGTAACCAAAAGACTGTGTTTACTGATATTTGGCCTGTAGCATGCTGGGATGAAGGGCTACCAAAGATTGCAAATGTGATATTGATATCAGGTGAGTGATTCAGGCCCATTGGGCCTCTTGTTGTTGGTATGTTTTGATGTTAAAGACATGTTTTATTGATCCAGGCAATGAAGTACCTGTTGTATCTACTGCTGCCGCTGTGTATATGTGGAGCAGTGTATTCTCTCTTCTACACACCACATAAAAGGTAAGATATTTAGCTCACCTGGCCCAAACTTAAATGCAAGGTCACAGGGGTCAAATATGCTAAAATCTTTAAACAATTTCTTCTGAATAACCAACAGGCCTAAGGTGATGATATTTTGCCAGTAACATGCTGGGATGAAGGGCTACCAAGTTTCTTCAAATAAATGACCTTCACTTATATTCAAGGTCACTGGGGTCAAATATGTTTAAAACCTTTGAATGACTTCTTAATAACCAAAAGGCATAGGGTGCTTAAATTTGGCCATTAACATGCTGGGATGAAGGGATACCAAGTTTGTTCAAATGAATGACCTTCACCCATATTCAAGGTCACAGTGGTCAATATATATTTAAATCTTTAAATGATTTTTTCTGTATAACCAAAAGGTCCAGGGTAATGATATTTTGCTAGAAGCATGCTGGGTTGGAAAACTATAAACTCTGTTCAACCTAATGTCCTTGTTCGTTATTCAAGGTCACATGCGTCATGTTTAAATCTTTTGATAGGTTCTTATGAATCAAACACTGATATTCTGCCTGTAGTTGTATTTTAGTCCACTTTTAAGATTACAAATGTGAGATTAATACCAGGTGAGCGATTCAGGCCCATTTGGCCTCTTGTTTGTATTAAAACATTGTCAATACATTATTTCACACTTAATTCTTTACCATTGATGTTATTTCACACTATAATCCTTCACCATTGATGTTTTTTCACACTTAATCCTTTACCATTGATGTTATTTCACACTTAATCCTTAATTACCATTGATGTTATTTCACACTTAATCCTTTACCATTGATGTTATTTCACACTTAATCCTTTACCATTGATGTTATTTCACACTTAATCCTTTACCATTGATGTTATTTCACACTTAATCCTTTACCATTGATGTTATTTCACACTTAATCCTTTACCATTGATGTTATTTCACACTTAATACTTTACCATCAATGTTATTTCACACTTAATCCCATACCATTGATGATATTTCAGACTTAATCCTTTACCATTGATGTTATTTCACACTTAATCCTTTACCATTGATGTTATTTCACACTTAATCCTTTACCATTGATGTTATTTCACACTTAATCCTTTACCATTGATGTTATTTCACACTTAATCCTTAATTACCATTGATGTTATTTCACAATTAATCCTTTACCATTGATGTTATTTCAGTTGGTATTCTTGGTGTATTCAAAGTCTTGTGAATGGTAAGTTAAAGTGTATCTGACTTTCATTTTTGATTTAACTATTTTATTCCTTTTCACATACAGGTAGACAATCTGAAATTATTTTTTGTCCGTGGTAAAACCTTTCGTGTAAAACACATGACCATGAAGTAATGTCAATACCATGTGACGTAGTGTGAAATGGCTTATTTTCACCAAACAATGTTTACAAATAAAGTAAAATTGTTCGTCGTAAATTCAAATTCAATTCTTGGTTACATTACCATCATTAAGATGGTTAAAGACTGGAGGGGTATTTCTTTGTGATCATAACACCTGGAGATGTACTGTCATACACTAACATGATCAGGTTAATTAGCACACAGGAATGTATTTCCTTTGAAATACGTAAAAAAATTGTAATTAAATATTTGTTATTGAAAATTTGTGTAATTTTTTTTTCCAAATTGTTAGCACTACTCTTAATAATTTAGCACCCCAGAGTCATTGCACATGTTAATGCAAAAATACGAAAACAGATAATACATGTAAATATTTAGTGTTTGAAGCTAGGAAAGTGTTATCTCCCTTTGATGATGTTCATACATTGTCTTGTGTAGGAATTAATCTGTTTTATTTTGTTTCTACTTCAGGAGTGTATGCATTTGGATTTCTGTTTATGCTACCTCAGCTGTTTGTAAACTACAAGGTAAGGCCACAATTGTTCCTACAAGGTAAGGTCAAATTGTTCCTACTAGGTAAAGTCACACTTGTTCCTACAAGGTACGGTCACACTTGTTCCTACTAAGAAGGTCACACTTGTTCCTACTAGGTAAGGTCACACTTGTTCCTACAAGGTAGGGTCACACTTGTTCCTACAAGGTAAGGTTACACTTGTATATTGACATTCAGTATAACTGGGGCAGAGAGTTGATTAGTGGGACTGTATATTGACATTCAGTATAACTGGGGCAGAGAGATTATTACTATGACTGTATATTGACATTCAGTATAACTGAGGCAGAGAGTTTATTCCTGGGACTGTATATTGACATTCAGTATAACTGGGGCAGAGAGATTATTCCTGGGACTGTATATTGACAGTCAGTATAACTGGGGCAGATAGTTGATTAGTGGGACTGTATATTGACATTCAAAATAACTGAGGCAGAGAGATTATTCCTGGGACTGTATATTGACATTCAGTATAACGGAGGCAGAGATTTTATTCCTGGGACATGATAACATTATGACTACAAAGAAGAAACTGAAAAATTACCTTTGACAGCAAGTAAGAAAAACAGTATTGGTGTTATTAGTCTGAAGTACTTTGCTGTGAGCTTGTGGTGTAACAAACATTTGTTTTAATCCATAGTTGAAGTCTGTGGCACATCTACCATGGCGGGCCTTCACATACAAGGTATGTACAACCTAACAACACACAAAACGATCACCTGTACTGTTTAAGAAATAATGTAGTAGTTTTGTCTCTTATCAACATTATTGTTATAACATTTTCATTTAAATCTTCTTGTGAAGCATAGTTGCTATCTCAACCCAATTCACAGCTTATATCCTCAATTTTACAGTTTTAAGCCACAACTCTCCATCACCCCCTTTGGCTATTAACTGACATGCAATTCAGGTTTTTGACACATGCGTTAGGTAACATGCTACGAAGTTTGCTTAACGGGAAATTGCACATTTGACACTAGCGCCATCTTTGACCTTATATGGTATCTCTGTCCTTATATGGAAACTGATATCTCCTTATATGGATGTCATTCATTTACTTTTCATTCATATGCAAATGTTTTTGGCAGCAACCCTAGCATTTTCATTCATACCGTAGTGACGCCATTTTGTGGTTTGCCAACTAATAGGCAGAAAAAGTATTCACTTCAATACTTTCTTAACTAGCCATATGTATGTGAAAAATACTACATTGAATGTATTTTGTGAGTTTACAATTAAAACAAAATATTCTGATTTAATTTCTTACGAAGCTCTGCTTGCTGAAATTGTGCTTTCCACACACTTCCCCGAAGTGGAACTACAGTACACAGTTCCCGTCACAATGTTTGGGTCACTTACGTTTTGCTTATTATCACAAAAAATACTACCACAAATAACCTGAAATTATACCACTGACGATTTGAATATGACTATTCTTTCCGTCAGAATTAAGAAACTCTCTCCAAAATATTCTGTCCATTTCAGTATAGTCACAGACTAGATCGGTAGTTAATTGCTATCTAAAATACACTGTAGGACTATGTATGAAATGGAAATGATTGGGCCAATCTGATTAAAATAATCTGTTACATGGCTCCGTTAACCTACCGACATTTTCTGACACAAATTTTGAGAAGAACGAGCATGCCTTCCATTAATTTCTAACAGAATTTCGGACTCTTGTGGTGCAATGCAGGACATTGCACTTTGCAAATACATTTCAAGTGTTGCAGGTAGTCAGGTAATATGTTTTTAACAGAGGAAATATTTTGGGCAAAAGTTTATTGAATTGTCTGGGGCATGAAATCCCTGAGCACTCATCCCTTCGATGGCCGATTGGCACTCATTTTACGGTACTATGCCGACTGCATCATCGAGTATATTGACGTGTGAACTGAATGCATTTGTAAAGATTGCGTGGCAAGGTACGTACTCTGAATCAGTAAATAACATGTTTATTTGTTCCGACATAGAAAGTGTGCAATACAAATGAAACTCCAGAATGATATTATGTATCACCCCAAGCTCGTATGAAGTCAATATATATAGTCCACGTCTCTGACGCACTGTCACCTTGATGTTGAAGTCAATATATTATGTTTTGGGTTCATTCCGAGCGTAGCAAGCTTTTCTGATTTTAATATTTTCATTTCTTGAATAATGATTCTGTAACTGTTTTTGTATTACACTCAGTGTTCTGCCCAGAATTTTTTTGATGCGCTATGGCATCTATTTTTTAACCCTTCCATCAAAGCGCGGCGCTGCAAAACATTTATGCGTCACAACACATCAATCTGGCACGAAGCCAATATGATAAAGAAAACTCTTAACAAGAGTAAACAAATAATAATTTATGAAGTTTAACTGTTAATTCTAAATAAATAACATTACTTTAATCTTGACATTGCATTATTATTGCTCATTTTCTTGCCCTTTTCTTTTTCTTTATCGTTAATTTTTTCAATACCTCAAAAGAAAATAATCGACCTCAAGAAAATGGATAATTTTAGCAAATACTTCAGCATTTTCCCCCCAAGAATATCATCATAGAAATAAATGAATAAATGACTGAGGATAAATAAATTATAATAACATTCCAACCAAAGGTATTTATTTTGACCAATTATTGATTAATTTTTAAATCGATGATATATTTTTCAGTTTAAAGAAAAAAATACTTTACTTATGAAATTAACCAGGTTTAACTACCTGTTATCATAAAGTAAAAAAAAAAAAATCAAAATTTTATCACAACAATGCTCCGACAGTTTTAAATATAAACTTAAATAGGGATATAGTTATCAAATTGAAATATTGTAATTATCCTGTAAAAGTAAATAATGTATTGTTGCTGTCAAACTGGGAAAAACATGTACTATTTATAAAATTTGGCGCCAAAATGATTAACGCTCCTCGTCCATGTTTCAAAAGCCATTGCATCACGGATTACGTAACATTATTCAGGTTATCAAAAAAAATATGGCCGCCACGTGCAGTCTGCCTACTTACGATCTGGGGGCCGCCTATGCCCCCAGCCAGTCCAGTCCAAATATGTTAAAAACATTAAACAACTTCTTCTGAATAACCAAAATGCATAGGGTGATGATATTTGGTCAGTAGGATGCTAGGGTAAAGGGCTATCAAGTTTATATTCAAGGTCACAGGGGTCAAATATGTGAAAAACATTAAACAACTTCTGATGAATAACCAAAATGCACAGGGTGATGATATTTGGCCAGTAGCATGCTGAGATGAAGGGCTACAAAGTTTGTTCAAATGCATGACCTTCACCCATATTCAAGGTCACAGGGGTCAAATATGTTAAAAACTTGAAACAACTTCTTCTCAATAACCAAAATGCCCAGGGCGAGGATATTTAGTCAGTAGCATACTAGGATCAAGAGCTACCAAGTTTGTTTAAATGTATGACCTTGAATCATATTCAAGGTCACAAGGAGGAAATAAATTCAAAATATTTAAACTTGTTCTGAATAACCAAAAGGCTCAGGATGTTGTTATTTAGTCAGTAGCATGCTGGGATCAAGGACTACTATGTTTGTTAAAGTGAATGACTTTGACTTATATTCAAGGTCACAGGGGTCAAATTTGTTTAAAATCTTTAAACGACCTCTTCTGAACTACCATGGGTCCCAGGATGTTGATACTTTGCAAGTTGCATCCTGAGATGAAAGGCTATAAAAAATTTTCAACATAATGACTTTGTTCGACTTTCAATCACAGGGGTGAAATGTTTAAAAAAAAATAAAAAATATCAAGCTGGTGACTAAAATAAGTTGTGGGGTGGTCCCGAAGGCCAGAGCGATCCCAAGCTGTGGAGCGAGAAGGTAGCAGGCGGCCCTGCAAGCAGGCATCAAGTGACCCCGGTGCCTGAGTGTTCAAAGTATAAGTAAGAACATGGTTTACAGGGCGATCCCCAACAGGCTTTTACACAGTTATACTCTGACTAGCTAAACACGCTCCTATAGTCACCTACCCTAAAACTATGTTAGATTACCATAACGTAAACCAGGATTAAAAAATGCATGTGACTTAAAGGGGGTGCTCCCCGGCAGGCACACAAACTGGTTATGATTGCAAAAAGGAAAGATATAACAACAAGCATATAATGAATTGGGGGTATAAATCGAACGAAGGTTACAGATACAAATGTATATAAGAGCCGTGCATAAATTTGAAAATATAGGAAAAGTAATAAGGAGTCTATGTACAGAAGGAATGTTCTGCGTTTGCCGGCCAAGTGCAGCTTGATATTGTATCAAATCTAAAATTTAAAGATGCTTGGCAGAAAGTCACAAAAGCTAACAGAAAGACTTCTGAGATCACTGGAAGAGTTCCTGAAATCCAAGGTGCCACGAGGCAGCGCATGGCAAGAAATGACAGGAAACACGATAGTGCTGACTTATAAATGGCAAGTGTTGACTTGTTGAGAGAATGATCCCACAAATGAGCGAGGTCTGCACTTAAGCTATCATCAGCTCCTGCATGGGGAGGCAAGGTGTGGCTTGCTGGTCTGCATAGGGTGCCAGTTCCCGGAATCTGGTCATCTGCTAACGAGAAAGAGCATCAGCTGTAGAGTTTTGCTTACCAGGTATGTGCTTGGCATGGATAGCGAAATTGTGCTTGGCAGCATGAAAAGTCAAACGTCTCATAAGCTTCATAATGCTAGCTATCTTAGATCTCCCTTAATGAATAATTTCCACAGTAGCCAAGTTATCACAGTAAAAAAGGATTCTCTTTCTACACCACAGATGCCCCCACAAAACACATGACAGCACTATAGGGTACAACTCAAAAGGTGCCATAGAGTGTAGCTTCTGGAGAAAATCAGGGGGAAAATAATCTATGAAAAATATTTAAAAACTTCTCCATGGTTGCATTTGCGTCTTTTGTTGAGGGTTCAAGCAATAAAAAGTCATCACGCAAGTGTAATACATTGTCTATATTGTATACATTGTGAGCAATCCAGCAAATAGCTTCCGAAAGGTTATCAAAAGTTTAGGACTTAATCTACTGCCAAAAACAAGTCTTATAAAAAAAGCAAAACTTCTCTTCCCATGAAATACCATGTAAGGGCCACAACTCTGGTTTAATAGGTGAAAGCTTGAAAGCATCTGGTCAGTTTTCATGAGCAAGGTGCCTTGACCCAGACATTTAATCAAAGTTATAGCATCATCAATCTTCACATATTTCAACGAATGACTGTCTTTGTCTATTAGGCTATTCATGCTAGGATTATCTGGGTCATTGTGAGGAGCAGACATGTCAACAATTAGGCGCTTCTGTGAATATTTATGTACAGCAATGGCAATAGGATTTACTCTAGTGGTAACAAACGGAATAGAGTCAAAAGGGCTTATTACAAAACCTTTAGCGTTTTCTTTCTGAATTAAATCAGAAACTACAGCTGGGTCTTTTAAAGCTGAGAGTAAGTTTCGGCACTGAAAAGACTGACCAGGTAATTATCGGAGCCCAGTATGAAAACCTTGAGACAGACCCTCAGTCAACATAGATTTTTTTTTATTAGGATGAGATTGCAGTTCACATTTGAGGGTCTCAATACACATTGGTGTAGTAGCCACTAAGTCGATCTATCATTTCTTCCTGTGTTGAGTCACATTTCTCTCTAAAGGGCAGTTGACTTTAGGATGACTGCTTTTACACGAT